GTTCACACCTAGTTTTACCTTTAAGAAAAATATCACTTTACAGAAGTAGTGGTATTCGAGAGTACCTGATTCCTCACACTGTTGCCAACAAAAGCTATTTTATTTAAAGCTTTTAAATCTTTGACAGTCTGATTCAGTAAATGATACCTTATTGCTTTATAACCCATTTCTTTAATGGATTTGTGAACAGTATAATAATACATCTTTTAATATGTCTATTGGCCATTTATGTTTCTTCTGCGAGATGTGAACTTTTCATAGCTTTCTATAGAGGTTTCCATTATTCTTTAAGTGTATGTCCATTCCTGTCTAGGAATCAAATATTCACTTTATTTAATTTTTTATGATTTGATTTCATCTTTGACTTCATTTGGGCAATAATCTTTTTTTTTTAACTTTTGTGTAGGAGAACTGGGGTATAGGCCAGAGGTGTGGGGGCTGAAAGGATTCACCAGAGTCAGAGTGGGGAGCAGAACAGGTGGATTTACTGAGATGCACTGCTGAGGGGAACAGTGGGTGAGACAGGAGGGGTCTGCTGTGCCATGTGGGTTATGTCCCTCACCGGGATCAAACTCAGGCCATAGTGGCAATAGCATTGAAACTTAACCTGTAGGACATCAGGGAGGCCCCAGAGATAATGTATTTTGAATGGAACATGGAGTGTGTAGTGGAATCTAAAGGAAACTCAACAGCTAGGATGCAGAATGACAGGAACCACACTGTCCCATGCACTGAGTTCTTTCATCTTTGCTTCTCTCTGCTTTATTACTCTCTTTCTGCAGATGGGCATGATCTCCTCTCCCTGAAGTCCCTACAAAGTGGGACCTTTCTCCTATACTTCTATCACTTATGTTCATGTAAACAGTCCAGGCCTATAACACCAACTCAATTCAAAAATTCCTGAGAGAATCTGACTGGCTGATCCTACTTCTTGTCAAATCAATGGGGACTAAAGGACGGGATGATATGGTGTAAATATGGCTGTCGGGAGCAGCTTTGGGTATAATGTTGCTCAGAGGAATGATGTCATTGTGCTTGGAAACCAAAATGTTTCCTCTACAAGTGGCTATTATCAAATAATTTACCCTAATATCTATGTATTCTCTGTACCACCATCTTAGTATTAGCTAGCAGTGGCAATTCTGAATTTTAATCATGTGGAGGTAATCTAGGTTTCCCTAGAGTTTCTTAACATTAATGGTGAGAAGCACACTCCAGGCAGTAGGTAGGTTCATGGCCAACTGGATGGTAGAAGGTAGAGCTTTCCAGATTCCACTCACTGATGTCCTGTGGGGTTGATGGGAAACAGGGGTGGGGCTGATACTTTGGCAGTTAAACTGCTGAGATGTCCATGGAAAAACTGCCAGCTTGCCACATGTGGCTTTGGCTTGGACCGTGGCCTCTACCCAGCAGACATTTTCTGGGGGTAGGCCAGACAGCTTGTGCTAGCCAGTAATTTCTCTCCTTTTTATCACTCCCTGTGTACATAAATCCTATTATTGTTGTTTCCTTCCATGCACCTGCTTTTGAGTGTGACCTGAAGCTTTAAGTGATTGGGTGAGTGCTTAACCAATGTGGTAATCTCAAATCCTATGGATTTGTCCTGTTCCAATTACTTTTCTCCTAGATTCTCAACTTTTGAATGATAGAATGGTTTAACTCCCTTCAAAATCTCTGAAACTGATCTGGTCTGGGGGTTAGGTATTAGTTTCAATTTCACATAAAAATCTCCATCCAAGAAATTGGTCTCAGGAATATTCCACGTGGTGGCAACTCTAAGCATAACCCTGATGTAATTTAGAGATGATACTTAGACGTTCTTTTGAACAACTGCTGTAGGCTTTCCTTCCTTGGGAGTGGTGCTCAGTAAGTTTTCCTTTATTTCTCAACCGGTTTTTCTGCAGGCCTTTTGGAAACCAAAACAAAGCTACAGATCAGGGCAGAAACATAGGTGGTATTAATTACCCTCCAGACTGAAGTGGAAAATCACATTTCTAAGTCTTTTGATTGGGTTACACCTCACTTCCTCCATTTCTTAACTCATCCTCATGAAAATATCATCCCTTTGGAGTGTAGGATGTAGGTGGGGAATTGGTTCTTTCTTCACATCTAATATGCCAGTCACTTGTTCAGTGCTTCTGTGTAGTGGGTAGGGGTGGGACAACTTTTTATTGTGCAAGACTCTTGTCCTAAGACTTGCAGATGTGTAGTATGCCTTGTCTTTAGGGAATTAATATGCTCAACTGCATGAGAACCACAAATGTCCCCAGTCGTTTAAAATTTTCTTGAGGAGCAGGTGCACGCCTTTGTGACAATTCCTACTATGAACTGAATGGAGTCACTTGGTTCTCTTATTTTCAAAGATGTTTTTGCATTATATAGGCCATATAGGTGTGAGCCCAGACCCTAGTTACCAGGGTTTGGCCAAGAGTTTTTAGTTTCCCTTGGATCAGCTGTCCAATGGAATCATGTCTCCAATAAACATTTTCTTCTGTTAGCTCCTTGGTCAATGCTACTTTAATCCATGGTTATACAAGTTAATACAGTTCCTAGAAGGTATATATTTATATATGAGGTCAAATTTACCTCAAAGTATAAAGGGAAATATAGCAGGATATAATGGGTTGAGTGCTAGACTGGGAGTTTGGAGACTCCTTACTAGTTGTATCTTATGTGACTCATTCTCTCACTTTCAGTTTCTTTATTGGTAAAATGGGGAGGTTGGACTAGATAGTCTATTCTATCTTTAATCCTGGGACTTAAAAAAATGATTCATTTATTTATGCATACAGAAATAGGGTATAGGCCAGAGGTGCAGGGGGTGAGAGGATTCACCAGAGACAGTGGGAGCAGAATAAGCCGACTGACAAAGTACACTGGTGAGGGGAGCAGCGGGCAGGTCAGGAAAGGTCTGCTAACTATGCCATGTGGATCATCCCCCCTGGCTGGGGATCAAACTCATGCTGCAGTGGATGCAACAACCCATGGTGCTGCGCTTTAACCAGCTGTCCCATCAGGGAGGACCCTAATCCTGGGACTTTTATTATCTTCTGTGTCCCCATTCACTTGGGACTCTATGTTTTCACCTCTCAGGAAGACTAAATTTTCCTTAGTGTTGGTGAAATATTTCAACATTAGGCCACCTAAAAATTAGGCCCTGACAGTGACTTAAACCTCCACATGGATCTTAGAAGCTCAAGAAGAGTTTCTTATACAATATACAATGTGTCTAACTAGTGGATAATATGAGTTTGTAAGTATGTATGCTGTTAAAAGTATCTCCATAAGATATTCATGTTGGAGGGGTAAAATATCACTGGAGAGAGAAAGGATACATAGTTCATATTTTTCATAGAGGGCTAGAAAGGGAAATGAAATAGGAGCCTGGCAAAAAAGTAACCCAGGCCTACTTGTATCGCTGTCTAATCCCATAGCCAGCAGGGCCACAATACTTGCTACCATTTCTTCAGTGCTGCTAAGGGAATTGGCCCTGTACTCTTTATTTATTGTTACTTCATTTAATTCTCACAACAATCCTATATGAGTAGGCATTGCAAATTACAAATAATTGACAAAATGAGAATTCAAATCCCAAATGTGTGATGCCAGAAGCAAGCATTTTCAAGTCGTGTTTTCCTAATTCTCCATTTGATAGTGCCTTAACCCCAGATACTACAGGCCCTTTATTGTAATCCTGTCTACTACTGAACATCATGCTCCAATAGGACTCTAAAGGCTGGGTCTAGTTTTGCATCTCTGTATTTTTGGATAAAGTATATAAATGTGCTGGCTTTCACTTTTCTTGCAGGTAAAATATTTATTTAAAGCTGTACTTAACTCATCTTTCCCCCTGTGTAAATGGCAGTGTCTGGTAAATAGTAATGTTTATAAAGCACTTCCTTAAAGGAGTGCAAGAGGGAGACAAAATGGTCTCTTTTTTCATTCTTTGATATTGAATGGTCCTTGACCAGGTAAGTACTATGTGTGCACTAACATTTTGACTTCTACTTTAAATACAAGACATGCCAAATTCTGGTACTTTAAGCTTATTTGGAAGGGTAGGTCTTTTTTTTTTTTTTCCTTTTTGAGATTTATTTATGCATACATGAGCTGGGGTGTAGGCCAGAGGTGGGGTGTATGTGAGAGGATTCACCAAAATGGGAAGCAGAACAGGTGGATCTACTGAAATACACTATGAGGGGAGCAGCAGGCAACACAGGAGAGGTCTGCTGTACCATGTGGGTCAGCTCCCTGGCCAGGTATTGAACTTGTGGCTGCAACCACATGATAATGCTGAGACTTAACCCCTTGCACCTCCAAGGAGGCCCTGAAAGGGCTGGTCTTGATTGAGTTGATGGAAGACTATGTGTGGTATTTGTCTGGACCTGTGATTGACATTTGTATGACGGAGTGTCGTCTACTCGCTGGAGATCCCTACCATTACATAACAGAAAAACAGTGTTGTAATTATCACAGAGGGTGACCGGGAATCAAAGATTCATGTCTGTGTCCTCTGGAGAGAAGACCTGGAAATTTACAACAGGTCTTTTCAGCTTATGGGCAAATTCCTAGTAGAAGGACTGGGTTTTGAGTGCACTTTGGTACATGACCTTGCAGTCAGCTCCTGCTGGAATTCAGTTTTCTCACCTGCAAAATGGTGGAGCTGCCATAGATGAAAACCCCCAGCTTCTTTCTCCACCCGGATTTAGCTCCGCCCCTTGAAGGTAGGGGCGGGGCCAGGAGAAAGGTCAAGGAAAGAGTCACCCGCCAGCCGTCCCTTTCCTCCTCCTCACTTCCCACCCCCTCGCTCCACCAGGGTGAGGTCACGCGGGGGACGTCACGGGGTTGTGACGCCACTAAAGGCGGGCCTTCAGGAGAGGAAGGGGCGGGGCTAGGAGGGCGACGCTTGCGCAGTGGGCGCGGCGCGGGAGGAGGCGGAGGCGGCGGCGAAGCCAGAGGCGGCGGCGGCGGAGGCGGCGGCGCTTGGGGGGGGGGGGAGGGGGGGGAGCGCGAGAGTGAGTGAGTGCCTGAGTGAGTTTACCCCTATGAGGCGGTGAGAGGCCCGGGGCCTACCTCAAAGGAGCGGGGTCGCGGCGCCGGCTAGCAGCGGGCCCCCTTCTCGGTCCCCGGGTCCGGCGGCGCGGCGGCGGCTCGGTTGTGAGGAGGCGGGGAAGAGGTGTCCGGCCCCAGCCATGGAGGGCATGGACGTGGACCTGGACCCCGAGCTGATGCAGAAGTTCAGCTGCCTGGGCACCACCGACAAGGACGTGCTGATCTCCGAGTTCCAGCGGCTGCTTGGCTTCCAGCTCAACCCGGCCGGCTGCGCCTTCTTCCTGGACATGACCAACTGGTGAGCCGGCCCCGCCGCGCCAGCGCTGGCAGCGGCCTCGGGGCCCGAGGGAAATGGAAGGGACACCCGAGCTTGGTGGCAGGGCGGGCCGGGCCAACACTGAGCGTGCCCCCTTCACGGGCGGGGAGGGCATGTGGGGGAGCCCCAGGGCCATGGAAGAAATTTGGCCACTAAGCAGGGCTAGAGAAACAGAAGAGGAGAGTTGGGGGGCCACCGAAGGCAGGAGGGCCGTAAGGGAGACTGGCAGGGTTCCCGAGGTTCCGAGGAGAATTGGGGCCAGGATATGTGGAAAGAGGAGTAAAGACTTGATCATCGAGGCATTGAGTTCACCCGGGAGGAATAAGGTTGTGCTGTTGCTTAAGAGTAGAAAGCACAGAAAATCTGAATTTGGGGAGTGGGGGAAAGGCTTGGAGTATGGAGTTTAGAACTAAGGATGACTAGGATGAGAGGTAACTCTCTTGGAGAGAATTGGATGGTACGGAAGAACCTGGGGCTTGGGGGAGACTTTGGAGTTAGGACTGAAAACATCATTTATATGTGCGTGTGTGCGTGCGAGCTTGTGTATGTCTGTGTGTCTGTCTGTCTCCCTCCATCGAGGACAGATAATGAAAAGAGGGGTAGGTGAGTATGGTAAGAGAGGGGACTTTACTAATAGTTGTGCTAGGGAACAGTGGGCCCTACTGGTCGATCCCTGGGCAGGGCCTGGGAAAAGTGCGGAAAGAAAATTATCTTGGGAGAGGGGATTTTCTTCGCTGGACCCTTGGGCGGGCCCCAGAATACCCGAATGGAGAGGGACCAAACTGAAAAAGAGCTGGGTTGGTAGATGTTTGGGAAAATGGAGAACTTGACTTAGGCTGGGAACCAAGTATTTTTGGCTTGGACTCACCTTGTAGAAGACTGAATTGGGGCAGAAGAACATGGCACTTGCTCTGAAGGAGTATTTCTTGGCTTTGCATGTAGCACTTGCTGTTTTTGATAAGCAGCACTTTCATGATTGTGAGAGATGGGGTTGTGGAGTTCACTCAGGGTGAGTGATAAAGTGGAGACTTACTTTGAAAGAATTTTAGGGAACAGCTCATCTTTCTTTGGTCAAAAAGTCATGGAATGAGTGCCCTTTGCTCTCTACCTGGGGCATTTAGTTCTCAGACATGTGGAATCTTGTTTCTCTTGGCATCACTTGTACAACCAGGCACCTCTTTATTCCATGTCCACTGAATGCTTCAGGCAATGCCAGAAAAAGAGACTATAAACCTAGTCTTTTCCTCATTCTTTATCTAACCCCCCTATATTTAGTGATGTTCCCCTCTCTAATGGGAGCCTTGTAAGTCCCATTGGTGGATACACCAAAGGTGATGTGATTTTTTTTTTTCCTCGTTAGCATTAGTGGTAAATCCTATTATTTTATCTTTAAAAGTTCATTGTTACAGCAAGAATGGGATTGAATTTCTGGATGTTCAGAAAACTCTTTGAAGTATTGAATGCAGGGGATAGTCTTTAGAATTGAAGAAGCATTTGTGATCCTCATTTGTGTCTTAGGTGTACAGGATAGTCTCAGCCAGGCACTACAGTCTACAGTTTTCTGAACACCAATCTAGCATGTTCAGAGAGTAACAAGAATTATTGAAAACACCCAGAAGAGGTATTACACTGGTGAAATTTAGAAATTAAGTTGTATCAAGAGTGTTGTTCTTTTGTCAGCTTGTTTCCCACTCCCAGCTCTTTTTCTTCCTTGTTTACACTAGTTCAGTATAGGAAACTTGGCATATTGTTGCCACCAGTTTGGTAAGAGAGGATCATTATTTCTTCCCACCCCTTTGTGAGTGGCACCATTTAAACCCTGCCCTAATAAGTTTTTAGTTCTTTACAGTCAGTATTTATTAGTACAATTATTATGGCTGCAAAACCAGTGTCATGAATTTTATGTGCTTGACATGTGTGTTCAACATCTGAGATTGTTTGTTTTTATATGTTGTGAAAGGTGAGGACCAGTGTGGATAAGGGAAAAAACCCTAAAAATTATAGATGCATTATAAAATTTTTAATAAAGAACATTTACTTCAACGACACAGAGTTGCTTGTATTCTGACATGGTACTTATGCATTAAACAAGGTGTGATGTATTTCTGAATAGAAGAGTGAACCATTAAAAAATACTTTCTAGTTTTAGAGCAGTTGGAAGTCAGTAATAACTTTTTAGGTATGTAGGCAGGTAAGTGTTAACTTAGCTTTGAGCCACTTACTTTATATTTTGACTGTAGAAGCTATGCCCTTTGTTTTCTTTGGTTATAAAATGACAGTCATTTGTGAACTGATGAACTGAACAGTGCAGGGCTGACTGTGTTTTCTTCCTAATGAAGGCAGTTTAACTCCATTATCTAGTACTATATTTTGATTCCTGTATTGACCTGGGCAAAATCATCTTGTTAATTTTAGTTTAAAGTGTCATTAAAGTGTCATTTATTGATGTATATTCTTAACTTAGGAAAGGTTTCAGAGTCCTGATACAGGTTGACAAAGGAGGTGGCAAATTGTTGTGGTTAGCTTGTTGAATTTGAGGTGATTAACCTTCCTGTGATTTCGTAAGTGCCTGCTTTGAGTGGTGATAAATAACCACTATTCGTTGTCTGATGACTGTTAAAAATATGGTAAATTAAAAATCATTATTTTAAAATGAAGACCATGAGTTTTTTAAAATGAAATTTGAACTGGCAAAACTATGCTTTTGCTTTCAAAAGTAAGTTTTTATTTTTTATTGAAACAACTTCCTAGAAAACTTGGGAAAACTACAATTGGGCAATTTGGCCTTTTCAATGATGTATATTCTTAATATAGACTGTGGGTGTGTATTATGCAGATATTCCTATTTGTTTAATTTAGAAGCAGGTGTTGTTTCAATTTGAGCATTTCTATAGTAGTATACCTGAATTAGTAACCATGCTTCTGGAGATTGATGGGCCTGCTTTTTAACCAAAGTAGTCATTTTCAGTTACTGAGTACATAAAGTAAATAAAAGTTGTGCTAAACCCCCTCTATATCTGAAGACAGACTGAAATGTAGGCTAATTAACTTTCTATAGGTGGGATGTCCCACGGTGACGTGTAAGTCAATAATGAATTTAGAATTCAAAAATGAGATGATGGTTTAAGACATTCTCTAGTTCATTCCAGTTTTTCCTGCAGAATTACATATAACACTTTCAAGATCGCTTATCCTTAGGTCCCTAAGGGCAGAGATTTGCGTGGTACCTTATTATTATAGTGTTTAATTACTTTTCTAGTTAGAATTATGTCAAAACTAAATCTCTTACTATAATTTAAGTCCTTTTCCCCCCATTTGCTTATGAGGTAGAGATGCACACTATCAAATGTTAAGCTTCTAAATTCAGGAAGCTTCTATTAATTCAAATCACTAAACTTTTCCAATCATTTTTAATTTAAACACATTCAACCAACTGGTTTATCATCATTTAATGTAGTCTTTAATAGATTTGTATTTTTTTCCCAGGGGTAACCTGATGATTTTTTCAAATTATGATAAATTATACATGTAATATTTACCATTTTAACCAATTTTAAGTGTACAGTTCAGTATTATATACTGTTTAAAATCACTTCTTTAGATTCTTTTGCCTGTTATGTTTTCAGAGTGGGTTGCTTTATATAGCATTTGTGACAAAAGGCAAATAACTTATATTTTTAGAAGACATTAATTTAGGAGTTACTACATAAGTAAGATATCTTCCTTAGCATGTAGGCAGTGCTAGCTGTTTCTTTCTCTCCTATTTATTAGGCTAAATGCTTTGTAGTTGTGTTGTTGCAACATCCTGAATTGCCTCCAGGTATCTTTAGGAAGCAGTGTGTGTGTTTTGGAACACTGCATGTGCCCATCATGGATAGAACAGATGTTTTCTAGAAAAGTAATTCGGGAAAACAATTTTGTAAAGTATTGCCCTGTTGACTTTCTCAGCATTGGGAGAGCTAAGCTACTGGACAAAATAAAGGTATAACCACTGTACAACGAAATGAAATCAGAATCTAGATGGGAAAATCAGTTATATCTCTTATTTGATCTCACAGTGCCTCCCTTCCCTGTTCTTAATCTGTTTCTCAGTAACCTGCATGCTAAATGGTTTATATGTATCAATCTAGGCGAAGTCCATTTAAAACATATTAAGTGATATTAATACTGGTTTCCTTAAAAAAATATATACCAAGAAATAGTTTTAGAGAGTAGGAAAGGTGTTGCTTAACCTTCCATAGAATTTGTATACACTGCTGCATTTTTAAAAGATTTTATGTATTTATGCATACAAGAACTGGCATGTAGACTAGAGGCAGTGGGGGGGGGCGGGAGCTGGTGAGAGGATTCACGGAGTAAGGAGCAGAACAGGCAAACTGACTGAAATACAATGCTGAGGGGAGCAGCGGAAGACAGGAGAGGTCTGCTGTGCCATGTGGGTCACTCTGGCCTAGGATTAGCTCCCTGGCAGCCGATTGAACTGTGCTGCAGTGGTTGTTGATAGCTTGATAATGCTGAGACTTAATCTCTTGAGACACCAGGGAGGCCCACTCTGCTGCATTTTAAAGAGTGTTGGGAATTCTTGATTTGCATATTCTTTTTTTCCTGTTTTATTGATTGATACTTATAAAGGACTCACAAGCTTGTACCCCAGGTATTATAGAAATTAATTTACACATAGATTCATTTTAGTTTTAAAGTAACACAGTAAAAAGTCTGTTTGCCCTGCAGGAAGCCTTTTTATTGTTCTGTTGTGGGATTTGCATTTCTGATCATAGATGGAGTCAGACAAATCTCTGTAACAGGTAGGATTGCAGGTAGGATTGTTTTGCCACCTTTCATTGCCCCGTACTATACACACGCTTTTTTTTCTAGCACATAACAGCCAAAGTTATCAACCAGACAGTTTAAATAAATGTATTTTGGATAGATCCCTAACAAATAGTGCAATACAAGGGTAGAGGACAGCCTCTATCATACTT